CAGCAATAAAAAGATATTTCCTGCCAACTCACCGGTCATTTTCAGAGCTCTGAGCATACAGAGGATAACACCTCGCAAAATTTCAAATGATACATGCAGATTGGTGTACTGGCGCTCTGGTGGAGCACCGCCACGCTGCTGATCACAGAATCCGGGAGTTGTGGTGTTGAATATGGCTGCTAACTTGCCTTGCTTACCTGTAAACGTTTGTCACGCTATTTATGCGATAGGCAAAAATCTCAAGTTTTAGATGTGTAAAACATAGGCTGATCAACCGCATTATGCAAAATCTTACATAAACGGGTCATTTATCGATGGACAACGTGGGATGCAAGATGATATCTTAGGATTGTACGAAAACAGTGAAATGGAACATTACTGAGATAATCATTGGGATACATCAATGGGTTCAAAAAATGGAAAAAAAGCCAATTGAGATAATTTTTCAACAAAGGACACAGTGCTGAAGAGCAGAATTTCGGTATATCGAAGTGAAAACAAAAAAAAAAAAAACTGACCAAGTAATGTGTTGCACAGTACAAGCATATCTTGTGGTGTATTCCACATCCAATAGCGCAAAATAACCTGCTCCAAGGCCACACATAATGCAACGTTCATTTGCACTTGAGCACATCCAAGTGCTGTGTAGCAGGAGAGGATTAAACTAACCTTAAAAAATATTACAATTTTACAGAAAATATGGTAATTTTTCATCAAATCTTATTTTAGTAAGTAATACCTGAGAAGAAATAAAAGACAGTGGCGCATATACATCAAGCAGGGAGTAGGCATTAACTGAAGATATGCAGTTCGGAATGAAGCTGGACGTACTATGTTGTGTGTGTGTGTGTGTCTACGTACGTGTGCGTGTGTGTGTATGTGTGTGTGCATGTGTGTGTGTGTACGTGTGTGTGAGCATCTCAGTAACATCACTTGCATGGATAATAAAAAGGTGTTTTGAGGCAGGAAGAAAAACAGAAGAAAAAATAATACTAAGAAATTGGTAGAAATAAAATTTTTTTAATAAAACTACTATAATGGTAAGAATTGTTTCGACCCATTAAATCGTTTACATTTCTTACCATTACCACAATTGGACCTCGTCAGAACATTATGATCACTTGGACAACCACAATGACTG